CATTGTAACATCTCTGCTGCATGAGCTCCACTGGTTACCAGTTGGATTCCAGATGAAATTAAAGTTACCTACTGTATAAGCCCTAAATGTCATAACAAATAGTTAGCTGGAAGACTGTCTCTCTCTCTCCCACAGTATCTGCCCAGTGTGTGTTTTCTGACAAGGTTGGCTTTAGTGAGACCCCGGAGACAAGCTTTCTTTGCCTTTTGGAACAATATCCTCCTGGTGAGCCAGATGACTCCCACTTTGCCAATTTTCCACTTGCCTTTAAAAATGTGAGTTTCCCCCCGCAAGCCTTGAGTTAAATTGATGAATGGCCTGTGGCAACTAAGAGGAAATTAGAAAAGCTTTTTTTGCATAGAATTTACTGCATAGAATTTATTGCTGAAGACATCTTGTATTTAGTGTATTGTTTTTAATTTTGTAAAGAAGCAAAGGTCATTTAGTTAGAAAGACCTACAAAATCAATAAATGCAATTCAGCTCAGTAAACTTGTCTGATCTACTCGTCTGGCTTCATATGCAGGAAACATGCTAATTCAGGATTGGCAGTGGCCCCTTGTCCTCAGATCATTGGATTTGCAGGTAAGCAGAGTTTTCAAAGATATTTTTTTCTGGAAAACAGATAGTTGACCATCTTGTCCTATTTCCAAGCTCCTGCTTTTTTCCCTTCCCTTCAGCAGCTAAAGTAAAAAAGCACCTTTCTTTCATCTTTTCCAGTTGCTCTGCGGGCAGCTTCACTGACTGTCCTGTACAAAAGCCAAGGGTTTTTTTTTTGTTTTTTTTTGTATTGTTTGCTCTTGGCATAAATAGCAAACATAGAGAATTAGGATAGTAGCATATTCGCAGCTCCATGGAAGATAGCGCTCAGCAGTTCCAGCACTTATAGCAACATGAAACTCTGCTGAAATAAGAAATTTTTCTGTAATTTGTTGTCAGAATTCATTGTCATACATGTGAATAATTGTGTTAATTGTTTCCCACTGTTTATAAGCCTAAGTGAAAACATGGGCTAATTTGTCTCTAAATTAACAGCAGAAAATGCTATTACTCAGATTTGTGAAACAACAGAGCAAATGGATGCATGTCATATGTCAATGGAATGATGCTTCTTTTGGTGCGTTTCCAAGTATTCGGTTACATCATAAGAAAAAGGAAGATGCTAACATAGGTTTGATTTTATGAACATGAAAAATATATAATTCTTCAAAATATTGCTAAGTTTGCTAACATTGGTTTCTTCTTAAAAAAAGTTGAATAGATTGGTTCACGTCTTGAAATTGTACATATTTTTATGATATAATAAATGTATATTTATTATTTTTTTATTTGCCAAATTTATATTTTGCTTAACTCTCGATTGAAATATGGGTCTCCTGAGTTTTTATGGGAAAAAATTGTTTAACCTTTTGAAATACCTGAGCAGGATTTCTTGTTATTAGGAATGGGTGCTGGTCTCACTACAATCAAGTATCTTGGCTCTGCATCTGGAAAATATAAGTTATGACTGTTTGAAAAATCAGGCAAACAGGAAATACTTGAATAATCAAAACCATATCATGTATCATACTATTTTTCCCACTGTATTGCTAGTGTTTCATTAGCACTACATTTAGGTTATTCGTCCATTTTCAAAATACATAGAGAGTGTAATAACATGCAAGTTTTGACTTTAAGATATCTCAAATCAGTGGAATGCTTTAGTGATGCTTATAATAAGCATAGCAGCACTGAATTGCCTAATAACTTCCTATTTCAGTAAAACAATATTTTTAAAATTCATGATCCATCACTTTTTCATTGTAAGAATCTCTTTCCCTAAATAGAATCACATGAATCTGAAAGTTTAGCTGTAGAGCTTGTATTTTCCATCAGGAAGAAAGAATGAATCTGGGATAAAAGAAATCAGGAAGTTGTGAGCTGGAATAAAACAATGAAATAATGGTGCTACTTAGAAACATGGAATCTTTCCTTTTGATAGATGATGAACAAAAAGTAATGAACCAGTAATTCTCAAGTAAAATTTTTCCTTTGGGGTTTCAACACTGATAACATTTCCATTTCCATTTACAACACAGTAGGTTGTAAAGGTACCTGAAATCTTAACAGACTCCTGTCCTTTTATTTGCCCCAATTCTGATACTTCCCAGGCCAGTTTTTGCAACCAGAGCAATTACACAGCTCTAGTTTAGCTCAATGTCATGTGAATGTATATCATAAATGTCCTTTTCTCTTGCAGGAAAAAAATTCATCTGATTGAAACCATACAAACTTTTTCAACCAAACCTGGAAACATAAAACAAGATTCACAACAAAATTAAGTTATATAAGCACTATTTTCATAAAGAGAAACCAGTCAATCAAATAATTATTAATTTTTTAAAAGGTGAACTATTTTGGATTACAAGAAAAAGTTAAATATATGCTTATTGCCTTGACATAATAGCAGTCATGCACTTACATGATTCTTCTTTCTAAAACTAACTGCAATTTTTGGGAATAAATTCCCTTTTGACTGAGAACCAGTTTTCAAATTCTTTGGAAATCAAGGGGGTTTTTTGGGAAACAAAGCCATTTGTGCTGATATTTTTACACACAAGCTAACAAATTCTTAATGGATTTTCTATTCTCTGGAAAAACACATGGCAAGAGGCCATACATTCATTTAAGGTTTCTAGTGAAAAGCTTAATCAAAATAAAAACTGATTAAAACAATATTTAGAGAGAGAAATGAGTTTTTATATAGTAAAGTGTGTGTAAATATATATAATTTCTCAACAGATAACAGGCAAAGTTTTAATTAAAATATTTAAAAAAATTAACCAAAATATTTACCTTAAACTCCATACTTATTCAAGTTATATTGGGCAACAACGGTAAAATGAAATATCTTCAACAATGATTTAATTAAGAAAATAAAAATTACTTGGAATTAGAACTTTAAAACAGTAAACATGATAATCAGGGTACTATTGTATACTCAGAATACAGGAATTTCAGGTCAGGTGTAAGTCCTTCCAGGTAGACTAATCAACTTCCTGAGAAAGTAGAAACTATTTTTATTGAAATTGTCTATAATAGTATGTCTTTCCTTACTTATAGTTCAGTGAATTAGGGACATTACTCCAGGCTCCCTTCCAACTCTGTTATTCTATTCTATTCTATTCTATTCTATTCTATTCTATTCTATTCGATTCTATTCTACTTTTAAATATTGTCTTATATTGTAGACTGAAAATATGTTTTACTACTTGGCAAGGAATTTTACATCCCTCTGACAAAGTTATCTTTCTTACTTTCTACAGCAACTATGGAAGGAACTGTTTAAACATTGGCTATGTTTAAGAATTAGATATGTTTCCTCTGAAAGCTCAGGGCAGATTAATCAGAGCCTTATCTCAGATTCTAGGATCTATGAGTACTGATATATCTATTTACCTCATCCTTTTCTTCCTTTCCATCCTCCTAATGTAACCTCTGTTAACATTACAGTAACTCTATGCTTACAGGCCAGTAGTAGATCAACTTATATAGGGAGAGTTTAATTTCCAGTTCATAATCACCATATAATGTTAACTAGAAAGCTGTATAAAGAGGAAGATGTGTAGTTCCAAAATGTGTATTTCTTCACTAAAGCACTTTTTTCATTTTTTTGTGAAATACACAAGAACTTTATCAAAATTATTAACACTGGGAATCACAGACTTGCTTCACATTATGCACAGAATCTTAAATGTTTATCATTTAACTACATTTTAGGCTTCACACCAGGATTCAGTGGTAAATCTCACCTCTTCAGAACCTCAGCCCTTATTTAGAAGTTGCTTAATTTGTATGAACACTGTGTTTATTGCCAACAGGAATGAAGATTTATACATTAACTTAACAGACAACTTGCTGTGCTGTAGTGCAAAGAAATACAAACCTATATATATAATTCTATGCTCAAGAGTTTGAAACAGGCCTTTTCCTTCCATCATTCCAGGTTAATGGATACTTGATCATTCACCTGATGGTCTTGGGAATAATTTTACACAATGTATGTTTACATGAAAGTTATTTCTAGACAGGCAGAAGTATATTGAATTATTTTTTGATAGATTAAGTATGCCTGTAATATTGCATTGTTGCTCAGTTTCCTTAAATTGTCTGTATCTTGTAATTCTTGCAGTCTTATTGGAATAGCTTATCCTATATGTTTCAATAAAGTAAGAGAAAAACATACTGCTGATTCTAGTACTTTGGTCTGATCAATAGAAAAGATGCAACATTGGAAAAACCTTACCATCTTCAGCCCTTGCAAGTATATCAAACATGATCCATTCTTCTTTTTGTAAAGAATAGCTTGTTTTACATAACAATCTTGGAAAGCAATATGGAGTTTTGTCCAAAACTGACATAAATCACATTTTTCCATCTGTATGTGGAAACTCACTGAACTCTAGTGATGTTGATGCTTGGCAAGAAATATCATGTAATTATTTCACTATGTCCTCTAAACTATTACATTTTATTCTGTAAGATGTCTTCACTTTTTCAAACTCACTTTTAAGGGGCATTAACCCATAGTGAAGAAACAAGTAAGAAATTACAGGGTTTCATAGAGAGAGGGTTCACTGAACATATTAAACTAAATTCTTGACCTTATTAGGAGACAGTCACATTGGAGCTTAAGAAAACCAGAACTGAAGCAACAGAACATACAAGATATACATTCAGAAACGGCAAAGTAGAATTAGGGCAAAAAGGAGCAGAAGTGCCATGACAGACTCTTAAATGGAATGTTTTTATTGACTACATATTTTACTACCTACATAGTCACTGTTCTCAGTAAAAATAAATTTCATTTGGTTTGACTGAAGAGTTATTAATTTTTTTAAAGAAATGTATTGATATTTTTAACCTAGCATTTCTGATCAAACTTACAATTCCAATCAAGGGATCAGGTTTTCCTGTCTATATTTTACACACTACTCAGTATAGATCTGATAATCCTTGTGGTTATTCAACTAATATTGTATATATTCAACTATGTATATATGTATGTATGTATGCATGCATTCATGCATGTATGTATATATGTATAAAAGAGCTCTTAGAGCTCTTTTCTTCTACCTGCTTTTAATAGCTTGCTGATCCCTCTGCACTGAGAAAGATAAAGACTTTCTTGACTCCAGCCTAGATCCTCATGATGATATAAAGTTTTCTTGGCCATAATATGGACACATTTTGTTAGAGCAGGGGTGTCCAAACTTTTTTCAAAGAGGGCCAGATTGGATGAAGTGAACGTGCTGGAGGGCCGAACATTTTTCCGAACATTCTTTGAACCATTACAATTTAATGCAAATGAATTATTTTATGCCTCTTTCCTCTCCCCCTCTTTCTCTTTCCTCTCTTTCTCTTTCCTCTTTCTCTTTCTCTTTCCTCTAACTTTCTCTTTCCTCTCTTTCTCCTTTCTTTCCTCTTTTCTTCTCTTTCCTCTTTCCTTCCTTTCTCTTTCCTTTCTCTCTTTCCTCTCTCTTTCCTTTATTTCTCTTTCCTCTTTCTCTTCTCTTTCCTCTTTCTTTCCTCTCTCTCTTTTCTCAATCTTTTTTCTTTCCTCTTTTTCT